GAGTGTGGAAGAAGAAAAAAAAAAAAAAAAAAAAAAACCAAAAAAAAAAAAAAAAAAAAAAAAACCAAACAAAAAAACCATCCGGGGATATAAATGCCTTCTGCAAATACCAAACAGGCCGAGCAGAGGTGGCAGGCTGATTTCTTAGAACTGCAGGAGAAGCAGAGTTTAGTGTACAAATCCCGTTTCCTCACCCCTCCCACGTTTCAGATGGAGACCGGGGGAACCCCTGGGAGTGTGTCGGGCTTGTCCGTGTTTTTATTTCGAAGAATGCGGGGTGTTGGATGGACGCTGACCGTGACTTGTGTGTTGATGTCGTGCCACCGCGTCGCTGTTTTTGGGTGTCCTGTGGCAGGGCCAGCCTGGCCGTGGGTTCCCTTCGGAGCTGATCCCGCTGATCCCGAGCATCCCTGCGCCGCTCCCTGCCCAGAGCCCCCGCCATAAATGGCGGCAGTGGGGGGGGGGGGGGGGGGGGGGGGACGGTGTGCCGTCCGCGTGTGACGCGATGTTTTGTACTAATACAAAAATCTGCATTCCTCTGTGTCTCTGGCTGTGTCGTTTTACCGCCGCCTCATTTTGGGGGGATTTGGGGAAGTTTGGGGGGTTCGGGTTGAGCGGGAGACCCCCGTGAGGGGGGTTTACGACAGCGGGGGGGGGGGCGTTTTACGACGGCGGGCGGCGCTTTGCGGCGGCGCTTTGCGGCCTGAAGCCGCATCGCGGTGAGGGCGGCCGGGCAGCGGCTCCCGGAGCGCCCCGGGGCTGATGCAGAAAATCAACAGGAACGTGGTGCTGGCGCTCCTGTCGCTGACCAGCCTGGTTTTCCTGCTCTTCCAGCTGTGCTATTACAAGTTCTACCTGTCACAGAAGGTGAGAGAAGGGAGCGCGCTGCCCGGCGCCGGGGCTGCCTTTCGCTGCGCAGCGCGGTGTGGGCGTCAATCCCGCCCCCGGGATTCCCTGGAGCGGCTCCCAGCGCCTGAGGGGCGGGCGGGGAGCCCAGGCCGGTGTCCGGTGGCGGGGGTACAGTCGGGTTTGAGTTCCCAGCCTGGTATCCAAGTCACTGTGTCAGCCAGGGCCATCGGATTCCTCCCGGAGGGAATGATGCCCTCGCCAGCTTCCAGGGTTTCAACCCTCAGCTCTCGTTTCTCCGTGACTTTTATTGCCCCCGAAGTCGCAGCGAGCTCCGTCTGAGGGCTGTGCTGAAGGGAGGCAGCATCTGCTGGGTGCAGGTTTTCCAACGCTGCTCTGGCGGAGATAAATCCCAACTCTTTTTGCAGTCGGTTTTGTGACTCAGCGCTCCTAAAGTGCTGCATGTCACAGTTTAAATCCTGCTCTTATGCCTGGAATGCTGTTTGTGACTCTTTTTATACCTAACCTGGAATGATGAGGCGAGTGATTCTCTGCGACAGCAAAGGAAGTGGATGTTACTGTAAATTAAATCCTCTGGCGGTTCTTAGTTTACAGATGCAACTCTGATTCGACAAAGGAACTCCCTTTATTTTCACAGAAGAACCGTGCAGGTTTCAAAGCTCCCTGGCTTGTTTTTTGGCTTTTCTTTCCTTATTCAGTGCAGGCAGTGTCAGTGACAGCTGCTGCTGCAAACTTCCACTTCTTTCTCACCATTCCTGATTTTTAAACAACAACTGAAAAATTCTCCATGCTTTTGAAAAGCCAAAAGCCGAGCCAGGAGCTGCCTTGACTCTCTCACGTGAAAATGCTGTCCTTAAAATTGAATTGTCTAGGATTACACCTGGAAAGACAGAGGCACAGTGCCACTGTCCCTGCCTGACAGGGTTTGTCATCCTCCTATTTTACATTTGCTGGCATGTTGGCTTGGAAACCCGAGGCATCACCACTCAGTGCTTGCATGTTTGGAGGTCCCTGAGGCTTGGGTTGTCCTTCTAAATATATTTAAGCCACAGCAGTTTATGATTTCACATTCAGCACCGTAGCTGCGTGACCAGGGGCATAACCCCAGCCACAACCATGAAGGGGATAAATGCCCCTGAACGTCGTGTTAAAAGAACAAGGATTCAACTGAAACTTTGGGGGTTTTATCTTCTTTCTCCCTCCCCCTTCCCTTCTTTGTTGTTGTTGTTGTTGTTGTTGTTGTTTTTTATAGAATGGAGCAGCTTTTTCCAAGGCCAGAGGAAGCCAGTCAGGCCAAGACAGCACTAGATGGGTATGTACAGTGTCACTGGCTCATACAGCTCTTCCACAAGTCTCAGAACTCGCTTGGAACTGCAAACTCAGGGTCCGGCTCTCGCTCCTCACTGGGCACTCTCTGCTTTGAAGGATGAAAAGATACACTTTGTAACTTTACTCAGCAAAGAGAGTATCAAAACATCAGTGTAAAGTAAAACTGAGAAACAGTTACAGCTTCACAGCCTTTGCCAAGGCAGTGCTCGGATGTGTTGTTAAAGTTTCAGGAAGAAACACTTGTTCTTTCTGAGACACAAGTGTTGATCCAGGGTTTTGTATCCTTTCAGGCTGGGAGTTGAACAGATTGGCTGGTTTGCCATGCAGCTTCTTTGTTGTTCTGAGTGTCCTGGGTCACACAACCCTCCTTTGCCCACTCCAAGTGTTTCACCTGCTGGTCACTGTTCTGTTACCTGCTTGTGCTGGTGGTAAAGCTCTTCCCAAGCAGGAAAATGTCACATTTCAGCATTCACCAGCTGCTGCATTCCAGCCCTCATGACCAGTGCTGGGAGTGCTGTTAGGGGCTTGAAATGGGATATTTGTTGTGTCTTGCCTCAGGCTTGCAAGATTGAATGCAACCAAAAACAACCACCCTGGGGAATCATAAGGTCTCCTATCATATTTGTAGTTGGGATTTGTTTGGAAACAGTTTTACAGAAGACTTTTTGTTAACTGATCTCCCAGTGGAAAAACAGCACAGATGGTTAAGGAGAAGGATGTGCTGGGAGCTGGCTGCCTTTCGGTTTGGATGCAGCATGATAATGTTGCTAATTAGCAGAATGGCCATTTAAAGGCCTGGTTTCTGCTGAGCAACAGGGAAGGTGCTCTGGCTAAGAGCTGTCCCTGGAAAAAATCCAAACCAACTGCTCTGTGGACTGCTTGCTTGTGCCAGGAATGCCTTGCTATTCTTGGAGGTGACACCCCTTGGAGCTGCCTGCCAGGTGTGAGGTGTCACGGCCACAGGGGGCTTCCAGTCTGTGGGCAGAGCTGTCCTAAAGGTTTAACTTGCTCTTCTGAGATCATTAGTGATAAAGGATGTGCCGTGATCCTGCCACCTACTGCACTTCAGGCTTTCCTTAGAGTCCCTGCAGTGATGTGCCCAAAATGCTAAATTTGAACATGTTTCTCTTGGTGACTTAACATCAAGGCCATGTTTTTCTACCATTATTTATGGGGTTTTTTAAAACTTATTTAAGTTTCAGCTGAAAGCATCTGTTTTCCTGGAGTAGTTATGGATTGGGAAGGTGGATACTTTTGCACAGATTGTTTTTTTCCCTGTTCATCATTCTGGTGTGCCAGTTTTAGTCACAGAAGTAAAACAAGCACATCACTCACCTTTCAGCTTCGTGTAGCTAAATCACCATGAGGGTGGCCTTGCATGTCCCTATACCACGCAAGTAATGCTGCTGCCAAAACTCTGTTGTTGACCCATCCTATGCTCATGTTTTCACATCTCTCTGAAGCCAGAGCTTTAAAATCATTAAATGAAAATGTTACAGTTGAATAGGTTTAAGTGGCAGGGTGACTGTGGCTGCTGTAAGTGGTTTCTGTGTGCCATGGACACTTAAATGTGCTTGATTAATGTTCTCCACTGAATCAAGTTAATAACCCCTTGCATTAGGCACAGAATATTCTTGCTGCAGCTTTTTTACTGCCCTGGGTAGACCAGAATGCAAATTCTGTGTGGCACTTGCATCCTGCCTTCTCACTCAGCCTCACAACTGTTTGTGGAAGTGAAGTGTACACTCAGAGGATGTATTTTGGGAGATCTGATTTCCTTCTTTCAATGGGTTGGGGTTTCTTTCTGTCCAGGAGTTTTAATGCAAAGATGGTCTTTCTGTCCTCTGTCAAACAGCACGTGGTTAGGAAGTTCCTGGGATTGATATCCAGTCACAATATTCCAGTGTATTTGATAGATCCTTTGATTCTGGGATTGGTTGATAAAGACATTGAGCAGATCAGAAGCTCTCCTGATGGCCCCAGCCCAGAATGCAAATACTTCTGTGCTCCAAGAGACTTCACTACCTTTGCACTACTAGACAAAACATGGAAACATGATGTAAGTGCAGGTTTTCTGTTCACATTTGTGTATCTCAATGCATTCAGTTGTTCTTTGATGTTGTCACTTAATGCTTGCATGTGTGTATCTGAATTCATGTGGTGGTAATATTGTAGGCAGAGGAAACTTTGTTTGAAAGTAAGACTTGCCCATTTACCAGACTGGATACGTTAGGAGTAATTTATAGCTGAAACTTTTTAGAAGCTGTCTGCAATATTAAAAAAAAAACCACTGGTAGTCAGGGTCTATGCCAAAAGGAAAGAAAGAAGGTCTGTTAGAAAGGAAGGAGGAGAACCTGGAGTCTGTAATGTATGTGTTATAAATCTGGAGTTTGGGGGGACTTACCAAGAAGGAAATGCAGTTATTGATGTGACAATTACCATAGTCTATTATTTTACATTTCTTTTAACACATCCTTGTAATTAATACCATTTAACTTAACGTGTTGGTGACAGTTAGTGGTGTCTCTGCTTCTCTGTGGTGTCAGGACATTTTTAATGGCTGTGTTAGAAATAGAGGTGTAGCATGTGAGGAATGACAAATTTAAATCCAATATTATTTCATCAATTCAGTGTAGTCTGGGAATATTTATTAGATTAATTTCTACAGACTAAAGGTACTAATGGCAAACAGCTTTTTTTTTTTTTTTTTTCCTTTTTTTTTTTTTTAAATTAGAAAAAGCGAGAGACACTGGAATTTTTT